CACACACACACACACACACACACAGACACAAAAATATATATTTATAATATTTAAATTTTATTTAAATTTTATACTTATTTTTACATTATCGTCGAATCTCAGCGTTTATTTTAAATCTAAAACCTGAATGAATTTTACATCATCGTGATCTGTTTGCGATATGATAATATATCGAATACTTATTTCAATACATATCTTGCAATCTTCTCGCATATATGATTACATAATTCCTCGGATTAATAATAACTACTACAGGAGCATGTAAGCCAAACACAAGTTCTACCCAAGTAGTACATGCAGCATCAATACAAAGCGTTAAGAAAGCACTAAAAAAATGTATATAAGCGCTTTTTTAGCGCTTTATACAGGTGCTGCTGTGCTACTTGGGTAAGAGAAAGAGAGAGTGCAAGTGTCTATTCAACAAGTCATTGAAACAATTCATATGTACATGAAACAATAGGCGTTTTGACTTCAGATTAAATCATCTTCAGAATTAATATAATTATAAATGTCACATATGTCTATAATAATATTTAAAATAACTAAGTCGTGTCTCATAAATTACATTGATATTTCAAAAAATTTTATATTCAACCTTCAAGCTGAATTAAACTCCTTAAAATTTTTCTAAGTTATGTACAAAAGTTCGTATTGTCGGTGGGGAGAAATATCCAATGATTTTTGACATTTCCTTTCATACAGCATCTTGCAAGATCAATTTTTCAGTAAATAGTCAATCGATCTTTAAATTCGACTGTTTACATTTGATAATCCATGTATCATACTTGCACTTAAAACTTGCATTTGACTTATATGTATTAATTATTATTAACTATATTACAGAGCCGGGACAAGGGTTTGGCGAGCGAGGCATTTACCTCATGTAAATAATTTGAAGGGGGCGCAAAAATATAATTTTCTACATATCTAATTCATTAACGGTGATTTTGAGTTGTATGAAATTGAAATAAAGAAAGTATTGGATGTACTCATTTCTGAATTGCATTGACGATATGAAAACCTATTTGATTTTGATTTCTTATTAAGTTATAAGTTATCAACAATTAGTTTCCGAGCTACAAAATGCAGCAGTAGATTTAACATTAAAATATGAAAATAATCTAAATGCAAATGAAATTTCTTTCGAAATTTTAAGTTTCAAACAGCACGCAATATCAATACTTTCCGTATAGAATTAGTTTCTATTTTAAATGTTTTATAATTCATGATTATTATTTAACCAAATCATATCCAAACTTGGAGGTAGCAGCAAGAATATTTTTAACTATTCCTGTAACAGTAACTTCATGTGACACAAGTTTTAATCAGCAAGAATATTTTTAACTATTCCGGTAACAGTAACTTCATGTGAAAGAAGTTTTAGTAAATTGAAGTTGATAAAAAATTATTATTTGCGCAACATCTCCCGCGCTTGACTCCTACTGCCCTTGTTCTTTCATTGTTTTTTGAAATATGTAAGAATATAGATTTTGATGTAATAATTGATCATATCGCATCTATCAAAACATGAAAAATATTATTGTGATTTTAGTAACTATATTTCATTCGTAACATACATTTAAATTTGAATGATTATAACGTATAACACTCCTCTCCTATACACGTGATTATATTAAATTAATAGATATTAATATTTACTATTAATTACTATTAATTAATATTATTTTTTATTATATTTCACATGTCATAAAGAAATATTTTTTTTACTAAGGAGCGCATTTTTTTATTTTGCCTCGAATACCGAAATGCCTAGTCCCGGCTCTGCTGTATTAATTATTATTGACTTAACTCAGAGAGCCTGTTATCTTTTATAATTCTGTTTTCGAATTAAGTTATAATGCTTCACGCAAGCAGTGGAATCTTCCCTATTAAACCATAACATGATCGCCGAGGAAAGTTCCAGCTCATATTATCGACAAGCGTTTAACGCGTCTGTTAGAATATGTCGGTTGAAGCTCTGTTTACTTAGTATGAGCAATAAGAATACGAGATGAGAATTACTTAGGTATACAAGATAAGATCTCACTTCGTGAGATAAACGTGCAGACAGAGAAAATAGACTATAAAATTTTTTAAGATTTGATTTTGTTTTAGTCAGTGTTAATTATTACAGCCATTACTAATGTGATTTCACGTGGAAGGCTATCAAGCTAATAATTGCCGATAAATGTTTTTTTCTGGAAGCAAATGCGATTGGAATTTTCATTCAATCATGACTGTTCGGATAAAAAAAGACGCATCGTTATGTAATGCTTCAACAACTCTCGCATCTTTTTGTATTGATCTTATTCCATTAATAATTGATATCAGTCGGCGCACATCACGGAAATAGTAAATTTATTACAAGAGATAAATATTATCCATAAAGTTTATGTAACGCAAAAGGAAGTTTGTGTTGAAATAACTGAAAAAAGATCTAGAAACGTGTCTTAGACGTGCATGTAATACTTCGCAAAAAAGAATTAGATTTTTATTTTTATTTTCTCTTAAATAACTTCATATAATTATAGTAGATTTAGATGTTTTAGAATTTGAACAATATTTCATATTAGAGAGAAATGCTGGAAAATAATTTACAACTGTTGGAATGAAGTGCTTGATTCTCACAAAAACTGGCAGTTATTTTTCATAGGATTTATTATTACAGTACACGTATATTATAGAGCAGAAGGTGTTATGGCCAGTGTATATATTGTGGCCTCCCTTAATATCTCTGCTATTACATAGCGAATCCTAATGATTACTTATGTAATTATTAGTTCAGTAGCTCGCCGTTACTTCATGACTACTTCACGCTAATATTACCAATATTCAATAGCCAGCACTTATTATAACGCATTTTTACTTTTATGTTAAATATTTCATAAATATATTTGCCATAAATGTTTAATACAAAAGATGTCATTTTGTGTTTTAAATTAATTTATTTTTCGATGTTTTGTAATATTAATATTATGTTTTAACGCGCGGTTTTCCTATAATATATTTTCCATTTGATATTCATTTTTGTAACATTTTTAATCGTGTAGATATAATCACCGTTTTTTATTTTTTTAACAGAATAGAGACCTTTCACAGAATAGAGACAACTCAACGATCATTCCGACAAAAAAAGCAACGAACGACACGAATAGAAATCCTGAGATAACTTATGGTATTGATGACGCTCCACCTTGGTATTTGTGTTTATTCATGGCATTACAGGTTTTGTATATATCTCTGCTTTTTGCTTTATTTCCGTATTTATTTTTTATTTCGACTGATTAAACGAATTATTTAAAATGTATATACTGTAATGTGTAAAATGTGTATACTGTATATAAAATGTATATAATGTATATTATCGACCTCATATGAATAAAAATGTAACAGATATTCCAAAAAAGGGAATGAAAAATACATTAAATAAAAAAAAACGTCATAATGTCTTATATGACTTTGTATGAATAAGCTTGCGCTTTTATTACGAGACATTTACTGTGCAATATAAGAATGGGGACGCGTTAACGAGTGTTAAAAGTATGTTGCAATATTACGTCTTACGTATTGTCTTGTGCTATAAATTTTATAGACGAAAACGTCATTATGCCGATTTTATTTACATAACTTTTAAAAATACACACACATAATACATACACATATACGGCCTAATGCAATTATTTAACTTGATCACACTATTGAACGAATAAACAGAAAAAGAGAGACAGAGAGAGAGAGAGAGAGAGAGAGAGAGAGAGAGAGAGAGAGAGAAATACAGTACTCTCTTATCGTAATTAAACAATTCAAATACAATTTTCTGAATCTAATGCAAGTATCTTTTTTTTTTATCATTGAAAGTGCAGTGTAAATAAAACAGATGTTTTTCTAGCATTACTTGACCATGATTGGCGCCATCGTTTCTATCCCTTTCATTCTGACGCCAGCTCTCTGTATGGCCGAAGATGACCCCGCAAGGAGTCATATTATTTCTACCATGATCTTTGTTACTGGTTTAGTGACGTTTATTCAAACTACCATAGGATGTAGGTAAGTGTATAAAATTCTATAATAAGATAGAATATATATATATATTTTATATATATAATATATATAATAAAATTTATTATGTATAATTATTGCGTATGAATTTTTTTGGTTCAACAGTTAGAATTTAGATACATACAAACAATTGCTATTATATATCCAAATCAATTTTTGCCACTTATCTCTAATACTTTTAAAAAAAATTTAAAAATGTGATTATGTCTTTATAAATATTAATTAAACGGAATAATAAATCATGTCTTATTGAAAAAAAAACTAACTAAAAATAATTAAGCACCTATTTATAGTTAATTTTAAATGGAGTTTATATTTTATTAGAATTTTTTATTTTATAAATGATAATTTTTTATATTTTCGCTTTAAAAAGGTCAATTTTTGTCCAAAATTTCTTATTAAAGAAATATCTTTTTTTTAAAGGCATCTTGTACGATGAGCATTTATAATATATTCTAATGTGACTATTTCCACTTGTAAATATAATATAAAATTTAACATTACTTGGCACGCTTGTATAGGAATACCAATAACAAACTTTAATCGCGAAGAAATGTATATTTGCATTAGATTGCCGTTGGTGCAGGGTGGTACCATATCATTCTTGGTGCCAACTCTGGCGATATTGAATCTACCGCAGTGGCAGTGCCCCGCACCGGAAGTTCTCGAGCAAATGTCCCACGAAAACCGAACCGAGCTCTGGCAAATCCGAATGAGAGAACTGTCAGGTGCCATCGCTGTTTCCGCCTTGTTCCAAGTGATCATTGGATTTGGTGGTAAGCGCTCTTTAATTATCAAATCTATTGCATATAATTATTTTTATTAAGTTGGAAAATTTGGGGGGATTATTAATATTGTCAGATTTGATTGCGTTGAAAGTCCGACAAGCATATCGGCACGCAATTATAATTTCTGAAATTAATTCATTTAAATGAATTTACAATAGTTCAACATCTTAACGTTCTGACTGTTATGGCGCTTCTTAATTTAAAGCATTATGTTTAACATTAGCGGTCTTTCAATCTTATTATAATTATTTTTGTTCTCTTTCTTTAACCCTTCTTTTTATCTCAAGATGTTAAAAATGCATTTGCATATAGGTATCATCGGATATTTGTTGAAATTTATAACTCCGTTGACAATTGTGCCAACGGTTTCACTAGTTGGACTATCCCTCTTCGAAAACGCAGCGGATGCCGCGTCTCAGCACTGGGGCATTGCAACTGGGTATGTTTGTACGACATAGATAATGTATACATATATGTATGTGTGTATATAACAATAATTACGACTAAAAGGTTTTCTGGCATATAATTGTTTGTTAAGTATGCATTGCTAAGTACATATATGTGTTGCTACCAAAATTGCAGCAACTGAGTCCTCATTTGTTGGCAACTTGATGCCTTCACGATATGATAACATTGAGTAACAACTTGCCAGTAATTTGCCGACAACTTTAAAATCGTTATCATCAAAATTCGTACTATTGTTATCATATTGCCATAATAGTATGCAGCATTATACAATGCTGTCATATTGCTGACAACAAGATAACATTGACGTAGCTATCTTGCTGTTAAACTGCTGACAATACGTATACATGTTATTGTCTGCATATTGCTACGATGTCGGTATATTCAAAATCGTTGAAGACAAATCTACGGCAAGTTGTCGGCATCATAAGTAATCACAGATTTGCGAGATTTTGCTGAGACACGCTTTGCTATCTGGGAAGCTATTACCTAAGCTGTAAATCTGCCGTAAAAAATTGATCAATTACAGCTGTCGAATATAAAAATAAGCGACTATGATTGATCAATTTCTTATGGCTTAAAAGATTTAAAACTCAGATAATGGCTTATTTTTTAAAGTTCTGATTCTTAGGATTAAAATCTAATAAAATTAAATATCTTAGAATTTAATGAATGCTCGTGTATATTTTTAGAACAATAATACTACTGACGACATGTTCTCAAATAATAGTCAACATTCCATTTCCGTTTCTTATATACCGCAAAGGCCACGGACTTCGCGTTATTTGGTTCGAATTATTCAAACTCTTTCCAGTAAGTATCAAGAGAGAACGATTCTAAATTCCGTAATGATAATGCAAATTACCGCGGAATAAATAAATGATGATTCATGAATTTCTATTTTAAGCATTTCTTTTTATATTGTTTTTTACATAGAAATATATCCGAAGAAATTTTGTGTCTATTTACGAGATTTGTAGATCATTGTTTTAGAATAAAAAATTCATATATAAAAATATATCGCCAAAATATTTTTTTATTGTATTTAGAGTACTTGTTGCGTTAGGTTTTGCTGACGATAGTTGTCATGTGGATAATCTGCACCATATTAACAGTGACCGATACGCTACCGTTTGGTCATCCCGCCAGATCGGATAGCAAATTGAGAATTATAAGCGACTCACCCTGGTTTCGGGTACCGTATCCTGGACAGTGGGGCATACCCACCGTAACATTGTCAGGAGTACTTGGTATGCTAGCTGGAGTATTAGCGTGTACTGTCGAGTCCATCAGTTACTATCCGACTACCGCGAGAATGTGTGGTAGGTATATATTCGTTCTAAAAATAATTTCTTCATGATTTTTCCTTGTAGAGCCATTTCTCATTTATGCGTGCTAATAATGAGGTCATGACTCTTTCCAGGAAGAATCTTTTATTATCAATAAATCAGCAATCTAAATAGAATAAAACTTGTTAAGAACAAAATTTTTGTTAATAATGCGAGCTTATCGAGAAACTTTCAGGAGCTCCGCCGCCACCGGTTCACGCGATCAACCGTGGTATCGGTATAGAAGGTCTGGGTACGATACTAGCCGGACTTTGGGGTAGCGGCAATGGCACAAATACATTCGGCGAGAATGTCGGCACGATAGGTAACGATTATACTTTTTAATCGCGAGTTTAACGCAGATTTTCGTATAACAGCATCATTTGATAGAACGTTATGGAAACAATTAGGGGTCACCAAAGTCGGCAGCCGCAGAGTCATACAATGGGCGTGCTTCCTGATGCTCCTGCAAGGTGTAATCAGCAAATTCGGTGCGGTATTCATCATAATTCCCGAGCCGATAGTTGGTGGAATATTCTGCGTGATGTTTGGAATGATTTGTGCTTTCGGTAAGCATAAATTAGTTCTACGATATGTTCTCAATTGCAAAATACTTTATTTTATAAATATTAAATCTCAGAATAAAAAGTGCACGAATAATTTATAAAGCAATAAAATATATTATTTACGCATCACCAAAAATCGAAGACTTAGGTATATTGACATTTTTATTATATTTGATTCATTCTCACTGCCATAAAACTATTTTTATTTTTATATATTAATTAAACGAGATATGTAAGACTTATATTAGCAAGATTTCATGAAAAGAAAAAGCAAATTTATTCATAGTACTTATAATTTAGATGTATAAGTAATTAGAAAACTATTTTTATAAAATTACTATTTTCTTTCTTCTTTATGATTTATTTCATCTTTTATATATTTTTATCTTTATTATTTTTTTTATTTCTAAATTGTAGTTTTTTTTTCAGGTCTGTCGGCATTACAATATGTTAATCTCAATTCCTCGAGAAACTTATTCATTCTGGGCTTGTCCATGTTTTTCCCTTTGGTGAGTACACTCCCCAGGATACTAATGTATACTCAATTACATTAATTTTTACTATTTACGTGCACAAACGCTTTCATATGTATATATAAATTACATATCTATATATTTACAGGCAAGAGTGAATGCACGCATGTGATTTTATGATCTATTTCAGGTCCTGTCAAAGTGGCTGATTAAATATCCGGACTCAATACAAACAGGAAGTGCCGTAGTGGACAGCGTATTCACCGTATTACTCAGCACTACTATTCTAGTAGGTGGTGCATTAGGCTGTTTACTGGATAACATTATCCCAGGTACTATTGATAAAAGTTAATAATAATGGGATATGTGGTTATTGATTTATTTATTTAAATTTATAAGGTAACGCAAAAGATCGCGGATTGGAGGCTTGGGCAAAAGAAATGGAATTGACTAATGGGGCGATCGATAAAAAAACTAACGAAGCGTCTGATGCTGAGTACGTCCAGAATACCTTTGACTTTCCATTCGGAATGAGTCTGCTGAGAAGGTGTTATTAACATACAGTATAATTTTTTATCTATATATATATGTACGAATGACGTGCAGTTAATATGTAAATTAATATTTTTCAGATGGAAATGGACATCATATGTGCCGTTTTTACCTACTTACCAAAAATTATAAATGCGTTAAAATTAAATAACACAATTACCTCATGTACATACACCTGATCTATCGTAAGATATGATCTTTAATTGAAAAAATGTGATATGTAAAAAATTGATAAATGTGATACCACAATGTTATACAAAATTTTATAACACATAATTACTACTTCCAGTCTTAATTTTAGACATTGCTTCGTCAAATCATTATGAATGATAACAATTTCAGGCATGAAGGTCTTCTCTCTCTTTCAACAAAGATAAAAATTTGTACGCTAAAGGTCAATATTAATTAATATTATAATAGTGTATAATTAATAATATATGTATAATAGTGTATAATAATATTTAATATTATAATAGTGTATAATTAATAATAATATTATAATAGTGTATAATTAATAATAATTAAGATAAAAATCAATATTATAATAGTAATATATTATGAAGAAATTAATTATTATATTGATGTCTAGATTGTATTAATGTTTAACTTTCTTTTATATTATAGAAGCTTTAGAAATATTGAAGTGCATAACAATCGTAAATCAATTATAGTTAATTTGATATTTTTTTAGTTAATTATGTCACTTATCCAGTAAGGATTATATGTTTATCTCTTGTATCTGTTAAAAATTATTTACATTAAAATTGTATAAATATATTCGTCGTTGAATATAATATATGTATATTAATTTGTAATATCTATATTTATTTCTTTTATTTCAAATTATACAATATATATATAACTTATACAATTTTTTAATATTACAAATGTATTTAATTTATTAATAGTACGTAATATATAAGTTATATATTAAACTTTAAAAAAGAGAAAAGACGAGAAATATAAATAAAATGTTCAGTTACAAAAAACAAATCTTCCTTTTATAATTGTTCGGCACTCTCACGATTCTACCGATCGCGCAAAATTATTTTCACAAGCGAGTTCTCGCATTTTTTAGTGGCGCTACTGTAGACTCATTCCAGAGCCTACCAGATAAATATAAATTACAGAACTCATAGGTTAGTGTGGTTAATCTGGGTTAACCGGCGTGAGAGTTTTTGAAAAAGGACATAGCATTTCATACAAATGTTAATTAAAAATTATTTAATTGCTATTTTTTAATTTATCTAAACTCGAAAATTGTGAACAATGGCTTCGTCTACCGATGTTGCTACAGTACGTATTATTGATTGATACATTGTTAAAAACAAACATCAAACAATACCTAACAATGTAGAGTATGTAAACGCGTAACGTGGAGTAACACCAAGATTTAAATACGAGAATACTACTCGTCATCGAACGTAACCTTAAGCTCTCATTGATTAACAAACATATAACTATTATATGTTTGTTAAAAATTGACAAAAATTTTAAAAAGTACATTTTTTATAACGAAAAAAATATAATTTGTTACATTTTTACATTTTTAATTATAGTTCTAACATAATATTCTTGAGGCTTTCACGGGTGTTACCTATGTGACAATCTTGCGTTTCGCGGGTTTTCTCCGAGGAGCCCTGATGAAGTGAACTGCAAGGTTTACGAAACGTTGGTATTCCAAGAATGGATCTGAACACGGAGAAAACCCGCGAAACGCAAGATTGTCATATAGTTCTAACATATTTATACTTATTATAGTTATAACTTATAGTTATAATTTATACTTATTTTTTAACATATATTTTATACTTTTGGTTAAATTTTTATTGTGTTGTCCATTAATTTTTAGATCAGAGCTCAGAGATATTTAAATGAACCATTGGTAGAAAGATGCAGAGATCTATCTATTTTGATAGATGAGTCAAGCACCACTGAGCTGCAGTTAGTCTTTCCTCTGCTGATAGACTCCTTATTTGGAATAGTAGACAATATCGGATGGGGTTTACACAATATTACCCTTAAGAAAAATCCGTATGAATATTCGGCACTGTGTCACTTTCTTAGTCCACAAGGATCAATGTTTTCTTTGTGTTATAAATTGCTTCCAGACTGTTATCTCAAGTATAATTTTCCAGTGTCTTATCTTCCGGTATGTCTAAAAAAATTAAATTTATGGTACATATAAATGTATCATTTTTAAGGGCTATTATAATGTATCATAATGTTTCTCATTCTAGTCAAAAATACGCTCCATGTTAGAAGAAACTATAATATCACCTTTTTATCTGGATAAAATTAGAGATGATCAAGGAACACGTGTTCCTTCAGCTTTATCTATGAGTATCCTTTATTAAATGTTATGTAGTTAATATATATAGTTATTGCTGCATTATGATTTACTAACACTAACATAACTTCCTTAATATAACTACATATCCCTTTGAATACTATATCTTTCATTTTGCGTATCATTTGACCAATCCCTGGTTACAACTCCAACAGCAAGAAAATGTGTGGATGAATTGGGAAACGGTTTACGTTCAATTAGCACACTGTTACCTATACCATTTCCTCCCGAGAGATAATTCTCCGGTTCTACCGGTGATCGGACCATATGTGAAGAAGACACCACCAAGAAAATTAACTCAGTCACCAGAATTCCGAAGGTACGGAGACACTTTATGCTTATAGAGAGATAGGACGTACATATTCGAGTAGCAAGTGCGCTTTATTTATATGTTTTAAATTTCAATCAGAGATTGTCAAAAATTGCAAACTATGAGACTTCTAAGAGCATCTATATTATCCTCGGGATCAACGAGTCCTGGATCAGGCGTGCCGCAACAGCAGCAGTGCTTACCGCAAGTCTGGAGGAGCGAGACTGTAGTACAAGTTTTTCTCGATTTTTGGTTGGAATATACGGAGGACGCGCAATTGACCTCTCAATTGAGTACATCCTACTTGTCTTCGATACCGCGACGAGTAAGTTTTCTGTGTGTAATAAATAAAGCCTTATATGATGTATGGAAAAATATGAATAATTTTGTGGAATAAGAATAACTTGTGTCTCTTCAAATATATAATATTTGATTGCAATTTCTAATTTCAGCATAGTATACACTCCGGAGAACACATACGTCTTGTAAGAGCGTTCATAAAAACGTTGCATGAATTTACGAATAGCGCTACAGGCGACAAGAGCGCAATGGATGAATTGAAAAGGTAGTGAGATATACTTTACAAATTCTATAATATACAATTATATACTCTCAACATTATTCTTTTGGTTTATTTATATTTGGCAGAATAATTCTTCCTTCGGTTCAAGGAAAAATATATACGTTTTTGAGGAAAGCAATATATCATTGGCCTCTAGACAGCTCGTTTAGATTGATACTGGAGGCTTGGTTAAGTTTTATTCAACCATGGAGATATGTACCAGGAGTAACATATACCAAAGAAGGGTACGTATACCATCGATGTCAAAATGTCGTAGTTCTTATTAATATTTTCTCTTTAATATTTTTAGTAAAGCAGAGGAAGAAGAAAGGGGCAAGATTCATGATCCCGGCAGATGGATCTCTTTCGTTGCTAATAATCTGTTAGCATATACAGCTGTGTTTCAACAGTTGCTTCCACGATTTATGAGAACTGACTTAGTAGCGCCTAAGAATGCATTAATGTTATTTAGAGTTACAAAAGTACGCGCATTTTCATCAGCTGTATAAATATATTATCTTGTATAAAAAAATATATTTCTCATCTATGTTTATATAGGTATTTTCACAACCATACTTAGCAAAAATGATATGTGAAGTGGAGAATTGTGTGGATGACGCAGGCCTTAGCAAAGGTCGAATAACTACAAATCAATGGACATCGATTATTAGACAACAGATTCTTGAACTGGAAGGTCCAACGTATCAATACGTTCCCATGTTTTCGACAGCCATCAACCTGCAGGTATTTGTTAGTCTCTGAAGATTTCTAAGTGTACGTCAAGCTAACTTTATTAATAGGTAATTATATTCCGTTTCAGGTCATATGGTTTTTAAGTAATATTAAACAAGCGCATTTAACAGCAACCAGCTTGGTGGAAGCTCTGGAAAACAGAAGAAGAGGAAAGCGCTTTCTGCTTTCTCTATGGGAATTCTTTAGTTGTGAGGAATACTCTTCGGACGACATCAGCATAGAGGAGCGCCGACGCGTTCCTGTACTCTTGGCCACCGCTCAACAGCAATTAATAGATATATTTCAAGTAATTGAATTTCTTTTATATCGATAATTAATTGTGTATTGCTATTTTGAATAACATACACAATCATGATTGTTGCAGATACAACTCGAAGACATTCCACAAGTTGCTATAGTAGCGGATCAAGAATATCACGACAGTATTCTGTCGACTTCTTTCTGTCATCAATCGCAAGTATGGATTATTGAAATAAATTTCTATTAAAATTCTTCGACCGATTAAAAAACGTGGATTTTAGATGGAATCTAGCTTCGATTCGAGTAGACCGGGTACTTTCGTACCGTTGCAAGAGGGTAGACAGACGTGTCGATATATCGAATATATGGGCGATCCAGAATTGCAACCGGTGCGAACGAACGAATGCGCTTTTCTTGTTAGAAGCTTTTACAAGCTATGCTGTTACCTCAATCTTAAGGTACTGCATGTAATCATATTGCTGTTTTTCAGTTTGATAACTTGCGATTCATTTGCAGTATCGATATGAAATAATCGCACTATACAGCAGACGAAGTTTCCTTGGTAGTGTTTGTCGGCAATTAGTTGCCCCACCTACCACGATTGTAAAATTACCTAAACGAACATCAAACGGATTTAGCAGTGGCTCCGAGGAACGACTGCCACCTCGATTAAGTTTACGACCTTTAGCTAATTACACCTTTCTCATAAGTGTATCATTTGGTATATTGATCGCGTGGCTTATCAAGTATGTAGTTCCGTAATTTTTCTAACAATAAGATCTGTCGAGAAATTATGTACAATAAGTCTCGAATTATATACAGAATATTTTTTCTTACAGTTATGGTCCCTTTATGTTCCTGGGATTTTTATTTTTAATGTGGATTATGTATGTAGTCATACGTGCAACGTTGCAACATTATTTTCCATCTATCACAAGTGTTTTCAGACAAAACACGATTGCATCTTCTATTAATCGATGATGTTTTCGAACTTTAAGATAATGGACTATTTTACTGTTTGTAAGCAATTTTGAAACCTTTTTGAGAATAAAGAATAACAATTTTGGATACCTATGTATTTGTAAGAATATTAAACAATATAAAAAATACATTCAATAATATTACTGTTTGAAAACTA